GTCATTTATTTCTGGGAAGTGCCTGTACAGAGGTTGTCATCTCTGGACAGAAGCTGCGTATTTGAAAGCACTGATGTGAATTACGAGGCAAACATCTCCACTGCAGCAATTACTGCTGATCAGCAAATATGTGCCTATCACTATTGACAGTGTGGCAGTATTGTGAGTGTGCATGCACTTAATTCTTTGTTTGTTTTGGGTGGGAGCCTCTATGCCTGGCTCAGGATTGTGAATTCTGTTCTCTGCTGTGTCTTAAGTGTTGTGGTTCCAGTATAGACCTAGCTCTCAAGCACGTGTAATCTACATACAGTTTTGAGCCATCAAGCATGTGAGTAATATAGGAGTTGTGTTAAATTGTATAAACCATTGAGACTCAGTATCTTCTGTGTGCTTACAGTGAAAAATAAGATAAAATACCGAGCCAGTGCCTGCATTAAAATACAAAAGACTATTCGCATGTGGCTTTGCAAGAGAAAGCACAAACCACGGTAAGAGGACATTCCTTGGTTGAAGAAAATGGATTTTTAATAATATTTTCTTGTGAATGTAAAGAGGAGATTTACTATGCTTAACTAAATATATCTGAAGTCACAGAATGATGCTAAGTATGACTGAAAGAGACTTTGAGAGGTGTCATATTCCTCCTGTCTTTCCCAAGGATGAATAGACTAAATCCGAACCTTTCCTAAGAGATATTTGTTTAGCTCTTTGTTCATAAAATCCTTCAGTGATAGCCTAGTTATTCAAAATCCTTAGATAAGTCTCTCTAAATGAAATTTGAGCTTATTAATTTTTTTCCTTTACCCATTCACACTATCCTTTATAGGCCCCTTCTTTTTTATCTTAAAAATAATTGTGTGTTCTGTCTGTCTTGTCTCCTCTTGAAATTAAGTAATTCCATTAGCTTTAATCTTACGGCATGGAATACTGATGGAAAAAACACTTCGATCATTAAGCTCTGCTGACACCTTTTTGTTCTTTGACAGAGATCCAACTCTCTGTTCTTTAGTAGTGGGGTTCTTACGAAATGTTTTCTGTTACATCCTTTGATAGTTATGTTTCATTTTGTACCTTGGCATTTCTGACCATGTCCCTGTATTTTTAAGCTGTTCCGTACTCGTCTTTAATGATTTGATTTAGTTTCTGCTTTTTGTGTGATGTTTTCGTGAATCCCAGTTCAGTGATTTCTTTCTAGGGAGACTGTCTCTGCAGAGTTGCGACTTGTGTGTGTGGCCTTCAGTACTGGTTCTTTAAAAAGCTCCAAGTTTTCCTGGACTCTTACGGAGACAACTCTTTTTTTTTTTTTTTTTTTTTTTCCCCCCTCCCCTGTGAGGTCTAATGACTGGGTTCCCTGCTGTGTAGTTCAATTTTATCTGATTCAGTCCCATTATTGCTTTTTGAGCACAAGGGCACAACTCTGCCTTTAACCACTCCAGTCAAAATCCTCTAGTGGATATTAATGATTTGTTGCTGAAAAATCCCCTACGCTCCACATTAATTTTCAAAATAAAAATGCATTTTTCCATTTTGAGTCACAATCTCCTGATCAGTTTTAATTACTGTTTGCAAAAGGCACCATTGCTTAGTTATTTCACATGATAATGTTTGAATTTCAAAAAGAGCATGAGTTTTATCAGAAGGCATAACTTGTCTCCCCAGTCTACCTCTTTAATGTGAGTGATTAGTGATAGTTGATAGAGATGTAAAAACATCTCAAGATACAAAGAAACTGTTTTACCTTCACAGCATTGATGGCCTGATAAAAGTGCGCACCCTGAAGAAGAGACTTGATAAATTTAATGAAGTAGTAAGTGCTCTGAAGGAGGGGAAGGCAGAGACAAGCAAGCAGGTCAAGGAGCTGGAGTGTTCTATTGATGCTTCAATGACCAAAATTAAGGTATGATAATAATCAGAGAAGTAGTTTCTTATTACTGGAATCTTTCAAAAACTTAATCTAATGTAAAAGGCCAATGTATTTTTTCTTAATAGAAAAGGCATTTTACTACAGAGGTCTTAATTTACAGAGACACTGGGTAAATCCTGTTTAAAATTGTAAGTAAATGTTACCGAAATGAATCCTGAAACTGGGTGCATACATCTAGACTTTGGTATTATTATCATCCATGTTTCAAAATTGGCACTGGAGAATTTAAAGCGAAGATGCATGTGAATATTGTGAGACAAGTGGTGTTAATAATTTGCTTGTTGCTTTTATTACTGGAATAATGCATATTAGCAATGTTTTAAATTAATCCAGGCTGAAACACACAAGCATTTATCACAGAGTGAAAAGATTTATGTTCCAATTACGAAGTTCTTTTCAGACTTGGTAGTGAAGAGAATTTGGTTTGCTGATTATGCTTCAGGGTTTATAGTTTGCCATTTCTTACCACACAGACACTGGGGTTTATTAATGTTAGAAAAATGTGTTGAATTTTTGTTTCATGCAATGTTATAGCTTTCTTAAAAAAAAAATCTCAATACAGTACATTATTTAAAATCACAATTGAAAAGATGGTAGAGTTAACCTGTCAACTTACAGTTCTCTTTTCTAATAAAAGACAATTTGATTATCATCATGATACACCCTCAGAAAAGGTCAGCAAATGCCCTGTATCGCAGTCATCAATATGAATTGTAAAGTGAAATTAAATTATAGCTCAGTGAGGTTTGAAGACATATGTAGCAAAGGCTATTTTAAATATTTTCAGTCTGTTATTTGCTAATATAATACCTTTTTAAAAAAAGTTATTCATGACATGGTCCAATATTTTTTTCTGAGTGCTAGCACACAGAGTGCTATGACATAAAAGGCAGAGCTGTAAATAACAAGTACAGAAGCTAAGAACACAACACAAAATGCACATAGGAGGTCATTAGTTTTCATCTTAGCATGGTATGAATTAATTTCTGTTGCTTAACACTGCAAAGTTTAAAAACTGAAGGCATGTTTTAAAGAGAAGTCATGTTTAATTTCAGTGATAAAATGGAGATTACTTTGTATGGCTTTATATGAGAGAGGAGAGTAATGGATCCCCAGGATTTTAGGAAGGAAGGGAAGGGTGTGCTCAAGCTCCTCCTGCACCCTGAAGTATATATATAATTTAATTATACTGCTCAGTGCTCTCATTTCACTTAATATTTTTTCAATATACATTTTTAAAAAGTGAAGTACAAAAGTAAGGAATATAATCCCCTCTTATTGTTTCATTTTACAGACCACTATAATGACTAGGGAACAGATACAGAAAGAATATGATGCTCTAGTTAGAAGCTCAGAGCAGCTTCTGAGTGCACTGCAAAAGAAGAAACAACAAGAGGAGGAAGCAGAGAGGCTACGGCGCATCCAGGAGGAAATGGAAAAAGAAAGAAAGAGACGTGAAGAGGAAGAACAACGACGAAGGAAGGAAGAAGAGGAAAGACGTCTGTGAGTCTTGAATAAGTTGCTGGTTATAGAATGAGAAAAAAATAGGAAAAGCACTTTAATGAGCTTGTTTTTACTACTCCTATGCTTAAAGAGAGTCGCTTGGATTGTACTCCTGGTGCGCTATGCAGTGTTAAAACATGCCCTTTCCTAGTGATTTATAAGGTAAGTGTAGTCAGAATAGAGTACGGAAGAAAGTACGTGATGCAGCTGGAAATACAGATGGACTTGGAAGATTTCTTGGCTTTATATGTAGAGTCCTGTCATCAGGACTGTACTGACTTCTGGATTATCATTCAGTTTTATGGAAGATGCTTTCATATCTCATGTTCTTTTGCATCATACTAACATGTTTTTATTTCTCTCTCCTCTTCTGTAATAGGAAGTCTGAGATTGAGGCAAAGAGAAAACAGGAAGAGGAAGAGAGGAAAAAGAGGGAAGAAGAAGAAAAGCGTATTCAGGTAATGTTTTAGCTGCGTGAGGGTTGGGTGGGTTTTTTGGGTAGTTGTTTTTTTTTTTTTTTTTTAAAATCTTTTTCACAGCTTAGGTTCTCTGCCGAGTCTAATGGCTTCATTTTATAAATGTGTGTCTCAAAGTCATCCAGCAGTGTTGCTTTAGTAGCAAATGTAAGGTGAAAATCATGATTAGGGCATCCCAAGACAGATCACCTATTTGTAGTTCACATGCAAGTTCAGGTCTTCTGACTAGAGGTGCATTTGTTTTCAAAGGATTAAAAAAATTATTTTAAAGTTAAAAATACACAACACTGGGGAATCCTAGTTTAGCCTTTGAAGTTTTTGCAGATGTTGCATGTCAGGCAAGTTTGGCACTCTTACTAGAAGTCACATGTCACAGCTTAACTGTAAACACTTTCCGAATATTGGTAATAATGGAAGGACACAGGACTGTCCTTGGTACCCCCCTTGACTACATTCATGTAGAATAAATACATGCAGTTCAAACCCTGCTTCTGCACCACTCCCCCTTGATTCCTGACACTTCTTACTGATCCCATCACAAACTCTCACTCTGAGGTATGTTTGGCCCCTATACCCTTGTTTTCCTCTTGTCTTGGAGTTTGCCTGAGTGACATGGGAGAGCAGTCTCAGAGAGAAAAAAACTGCTCTGTAGGGGCAGTTGTTGCAAGTGCAGGGCAGTGGTCATCGATGTTTACAGACTCTTTTAAGCACTGTCCCTGTTTAATCAGAAGCAGAATTTTTCTCCTGTATCTTGTTATCCTTGGAGTTAGCTAGCACTGTTTATTCTCCCTGCCTCTGCACACTTTCTTCTATCACCTTACCCCTTGTTGCTGATAAACAAGTCTCTGGAATGAACAGAGAAATTATAGCCTAACTTTGATGGAAAATGAATCTCTCCTGTATTATTGGGTCTGTCACCTGTATCAGAATAATACCAGCTTGCAGAATTTAAACATAAAAAGTGTAAGCTGCTATTTGGCTAGTCTCTAAATCATTGCTTGGAGACCACTGCAGATGTGTGTAGTGTTTTGTGAGAAATTCATAGGATAAGTTTCTGTTCAGGGACAGTTTAAATGGATTAAACTTTGTCCACTGAGGAAGCAAGATGGACTCTCGCCAGAAGGTTTAAAAATTTGGTCTGCCAGCACCATGAACATCTCTAGGGATTGTCTTTATGTTTCTTTGTTTCTGAGATGTGGATATCTGCAATGCAGAATGTAATTTACACTTTTACTTAGAAACTCTGTGTTTGGATACAAAGCAGATATGTAAAGCAGTAGTAGAAAGTATCTCTTTCTTCTGCATACAGTTAATTACTCATTATCTCTCCTTCTGGTGGTTGTTACTATCAGCTAATCTAAAATGGGATTCATAGGGTAAAGTCACTGGTCTTACTGCACTGCTTTTAGTGGTGCAAATTCACGATGATGAGTGGGAAGTGACTTTGTCTCCTTTGTTGACTTCTGGACATCAAGAAGGGCACTGCTAAGATTTGGCATGTGTAACTTCCAGAAGTATGATTTGGATGGTCACATTTTACTTACTGCGTGTGCAAGACCCGTTGTTAAATAATGATGGTAAACTGGAATTACAGTTTTGCTCTGCAGAGGCAATATATCTGGATTGCTTCTGCGTTGCACTAAGTTGGAATTTTACCATTTGTTTAAATTCAAAGCCAGATCAGGTCCACAGAGGATTCCAATGTTTGTCTTGATCCCTTTTCAAAATGAACCATGGACCTATATGTGCAGCACTGTTGCAAAGTCCTATAACGCAAAGCACAGAATATGAAGGGAGTATTGTGTTAGTGCTATGGAGGAGTAACCATATTGTTGTGTATCATCTGCGTATTAATGATTCTATAAATTTTTTCGAGTCTAATTTTCATAATAGTTAACAAAAACCTTTGTGTCCTTTTAAAATAAGGAATAATTGATTGGCACTTTAATTTGAAAAGGTAATACAAGTGGACAATATGTAAACTATGTGTAAACCAAGGTGCAATCTGTAGCTGTTTTGTTTCTTTTGGGCCTAACTAAATACTAATGCTGTTACTTTTTCAGTTCTGTAGATTTTGCCGTGTTTCAAAAGCTGTAAATATACTACTTGGCATATTTTTCTAATAATTTGCTTATATGTGTTTTTACACAACAGGCTGAAATTGAGGCTCAGCTAGCTAGAGAACGAGAAGAGGAAACCCAGCACCAGGCAGTTCTTGAACAGGAACGTCGTGATCGTGAACTTGCGATGAGAATTGCCCAGAGTGAGGCAGAACTCATCAGTGATGAGGCTCAGCTTGATGTAGGATTGCGCAGGTATGGGGTTAAGTAGTTAAATTTATATATCTTTTTTTTTTTTTTTTCCTTCCTGTCCTGATCCCTTTGAGAATATGCTCTTGTTAGTTTTATGTATTCTTGTATTAATTAAATGGACCTTTTAAGTCAGTGCATTGCATGATTAGGGCATCCCAAGACAGATCACCTATTTGTAGTTCACATGCAAGTTCAGGTCTTCTGACTAGAGGTGCATTTGTTTTCAAAGGATTAAAAAAATTATTTTAAAGTTAAAAATACACAACACTGGGGAATCCTAGTTTAGCCTTTGAAGTTTTTGCAGATGTTGCATGTCAGGCAAGTTTGGCACTCTTACTAGAAGTCACATGTCACAGCTTAACTGTAAACACTTTCCGAATATTGGTAATAATGGAAGGACACAGGACTGTCCTTGGTACCCCCCTTGACTACATTCATGTAGAATAAATACATGCAGTTCAAACCCTGCTTCTGCACCACTCCCCCTTGATTCCTGACACTTCTTACTGATCCCATCACAAACTCTCACTCTGAGGTATGTTTGGCCCCTATACCCTTGTTTTCCTCTTGTCTTGGAGTTTGCCTGAGTGACGTGGGAGAGCAGTCTCAGAGAGAAAAAAACTGCTCTGTAGGGGCAGTTGTTGCAAGTGCAGGGCAGTGGTCATCGATGTTTACAGACTCTTTTAAGCACTGTCCCTGTTTAATCAGAAGCAGAATTTTTCTCCTGTATCTTGTTATCCTTGGAGTTAGCTAGCACTGTTTATTCTCCCTGCCTCTGCACACTTTCTTCTATCACCTTACCCCTTGTTGCTGATAAACAAGTCTCTGGAATGAACAGAGAAATTATAGCCTAACTTTGATGGAAAATGAATCTCTCCTGTATTATTGGGTCTGTCACCTGTATCAGAATAATACCAGCTTGCAGAATTTAAACATAAAAAGTGTAAGCTGCTATTTGGCTAGTCTCTAAATCATTGCTTGGAGACCACTGCAGATGTGTGTAGTGTTTTGTGAGAAATTCATAGGATAAGTTTCTGTTCAGGGACAGTTTAAATGGATTAAACTTTGTCCACTGAGGAAGCAAGATGGACTCTCGCCAGAAGGTTTAAAAATTTGGTCTGCCAGCACCATGAACATCTCTAGGGATTGTCTTTATGTTTCTTTGTTTCTGAGATGTGGATATCTGCAATGCAGAATGTAATTTACACTTTTACTTAGAAACTCTGTGTTTGGATACAAAGCAGATATGTAAAGCAGTAGGGTATCTCTTTCTTCTGCATACAGTTAATTACTCATTATCTCTCCTTCTGGTGGTTGTTACTATCAGCTAATCTAAAATGGGATTCATAGGGTAAAGTCACTGGTCTTACTGCACTGCTTTTAGTGGTGCAAATTCACGATGATGAGTGGGAAGTGACTTTGTCTCCTTTGTTGACTTCTGGACATCAAGAAGGGCACTGCTAAGATTTGGCATGTGTAACTTCCAGAAGTATGATTTGGATGGTCACATTTTACTTACTGCGTGTGCAAGACCCGTTGTTAAATAATGATGGTAAACTGGAATTACAGTTTTGCTCTGCAGAGGCAATATATCTGGATTGCTTCTGCGTTGCACTAAGTTGGAATTTTACCATTTGTTTAAATTCAAAGCCAGATCAGGTCCACAGAGGATTCCAATGTTTGTCTTGATCCCTTTTCAAAATGAACCATGGACCTATATGTGCAGCACTGTTGCAAAGTCCTATAACGCAAAGCACAGAATATGAAGGGAGTATTGTGTTAGTGCTATGGAGGAGTAACCATATTGTTGTGTATCATCTGCGTATTAATGATTCTATAAATTTTTTCGAGTCTAATTTTCATAATAGTTAACAAAAACCTTTGTGTCCTTTTAAAATAAGGAATAATTGATTGGCACTTTAATTTGAAAAGGTAATACAAGTGGACAATATGTAAACTATGTGTAAACCAAGGTGCAATCTGTAGCTGTTTTGTTTCTTTTGGGCCTAACTAAATACTAATGCTGTTACTTTTTCAGTTCTGTAGATTTTGCCGTGTTTCAAAAGCTGTAAATATACTACTTGGCATATTTTTCTAATAATTTGCTTATATGTGTTTTTACACAACAGGCTGAAATTGAGGCTCAGCTAGCTAGAGAACGAGAAGAGGAAACCCAGCACCAGGCAGTTCTTGAACAGGAACGTCGTGATCGTGAACTTGCGATGAGAATTGCCCAGAGTGAGGCAGAACTCATCAGTGATGAGGCTCAGCTTGATGTAGGATTGCGCAGGTATGGGGTTAAGTAGTTAAATTTATATATCTTTTTTTTTTTTTTTTCCTTCCTGTCCTGATCCCTTTGAGAATATGCTCTTGTTAGTTTTATGTATTCTTGTATTAATTAAATGGACCTTTTAAGTCAGTGCATTGGAGTATTGGAATATTTTTCAAATTAACTTGTGAAGTTTGTTAGAAATTGCTTAAAGACTTTGTCCATTTTGCATCTTGCTACATCAGTAATTTAGTAGGTACCCGTGAATACAACTGCAGTTCTCTTTCTCTTTTTGAGTGCTCTCAAGGATGGTAACCAATTTAAATTATGATTTTTATGACCCATTTAAAGTAGTGGTTGGAATTTCTTCAGTGGTAAGTAGTAATAAAATACACCCTTTCTGGTACTTGATGGTTCCAGTAGTATAGTGTGAATTTATGTGTTGTGGGTTTTTTTTAAGAAATAGCTTTCTTCAAATGCAGAAATAGTAGTTATTTCTGTATCCTAACTGGTAAGTTTTTAAAAGTGAAATGAATATATTTAACATAGGTAGGCTTGAAAATTAAATGTTTGTTTTGTTTTGTTTGAACTTTTTGATGTGTCACAAGAAGTGCTCGGCTTTTGGCATGCAGATCCACACTGCCTGCAAAGTAAGAGCTCTTCATGTGTAAAGGGTGATGCCTCAGAATCTTTATAGCCAGCAAATGTACATGTCATTAATTGATGATTTTTCCAACTATGTGGTTTTGTTTCTTCCCTGGAAAACATCTTTAAGATGTGTTCTCTGTGTAGCTCTCCTAAGGAGAAAACCAATTTGTGCCTTTTTTTTTTTTTTTTTTTAAAATTGATAAGAGTTCTGATTTCAGATTGCCCAGTTCAAATACGATCAAGATAAATATATTATTTAACAAAGTTTTGCTGCCTAGCCAGGGCACTTTCTAAAGGGTCTATATGTTAATCAGGGTTCAACGAAAAGTGAATTAGGGCTTTTGGCCTTCTGTTCCTATATCAGAAACACAGCAGTTTTGGGAAAAGTTTAGGTGAGAATTTGGCATAAAGCTCTAGCAAAAATGATATTTATTGATCAAATTGCATATAGGCACCTATGAACATGATTATGTCATTGGTGATTTCATTAGTACTGATCTACTCTGGTTGTTGTTGTTGTTGAAAGAAGGGGGTATAAGAAAATCCCAAGTGGATTTTTGCTTAAAGACTTTGTCCATTTTGCATCTTGGAATTTCAAGCTCCGAGATGTGTTCTCTCTGCTACTCGTATTGTTTGTATACTTTTTTTTAATAACTGTATGCCTACATGAGATAGCTAGGTGATTTTTTTGTCATGTACAATACTGATTTTTAAAAGACACTTCCACTAAAATTATTGTGGTTTTGCCTTCAGTTATACAATAGCTATCATATTGTCTCAGATAAGACTTGAACATCCTCAGTTGGATGTCCAAGTGCTTCACAGACAGCATTCTGGAGGTTTTCATACTTTCCCTATTTGAATTTTGTGCAATACTTTGAGGGTAAACCCAAAGTCACTCTAGTGTTGCAACCTGGCAAACTTCTCTTAAATATGAAAGAAGGGAGGCATTAGACAAGAAGAGCTCAGAGAGTTCAGCACCTTTTCTGTCAGTGAAGCTCCGATCTCCACAGTGTTTCTTGCTGCTCATGGGTAATGCTGGTATTTGTCTTCCTTGTGCAGTCCCGGAATGGATGATGAACTAACTACCCTGATAGTTTTGACTGCCAGTTTCTCTCTGCTGTGTAGCTAGCAGTAGGAGAATGAAGACACTTCTCTGAATGGTTGGAAAGTGCAGAATGGTCTCAATAAGTTAACATAGAAATGAAAATTCTTTCTTGAACAAGATATTTTATAAATACAGAAAAAAGTAGAGGGATTTTTCTGCCTATAAGAGATTTCTTTTTATCTCATTAGCAAAATTTTTTCTTTCTGTTTCTGCAGTCTACTTCAAAGAGCTCTAGGCATGTCAAAAAATTCTTTTCATTTCACCTTTGATTTGATATTGTTTTGGTTTGCTTAAAAAAAAGCTAGAATGTTCTCCAGACCCCAGTATCTTCTGAAATCTAAGGGTAGATTTCCATGTAACTGCAGGAATCAGCTTAAAGGTAGAAACTGGGAATTCTCTGAAATGAAGACTACTTATTGGTTAGAACAAAACATGTAATTTAATAATATAAACATAAATTTTCAGGACTTCTTTTAACTAATATCAATTAAAATTTTACTAGAGTCTAAGGAGGTTATATTCTGTCATCTTCTGGATTTGAGATTTGCATATTTCCGTATGATACACTGAAATCACTGTGACTTTTATGTATGTATATTTCCCTTTTCTGTTAAATTTTGCTGTAGTAAGATAAAGCGTGTATCACTCCATACTGCATTCATGCAGTATACTGGTTGTACAGGGTTTTCATGTAATTTTGTAGAAAATCATTTCATACTTACCCGGTGGCATGAATAAAAGGGTATTTTCCATTGTGCTGCACTACATGTGGAGTGAAAATAGTAAGAACAAGGTGCCACTTTGAAGGAACTCTTGCATTTTGCTCATTTCTTAAGAGTTGTCATCTTTGAAAATGGTTAGCCTCTACTTCTTTTCTCCTCAATACCTTGCTGCATTCACCATTAGTTTTCATAGATATTTAAAGGTTCATAAGTATTAGTAATTTCTTTGAGAAATATGCTTATTGGCTCCTGTGAAAGAAGAAAAGTTTGTTCTGGCAGTAGATCCAGCATTTTTATTTGTGCTTTTTCTGTGCTGGATATGCTGGACCTCTCTAGCTTCATGCAATTTTATAACTCATCCACAATTTGAAACCATGTGTAATAAGGGATTTACAGCACTTGGGGTAAATGAACAGAAGTACTTATCACTTAAGTAAAAAATTAGTTAAATAATAGTTACCTGTTTTCTACTGCAATATTTTTCATTTATGTGGCTTATTGAAACATATAGCGTATAGCACCAAAATAAGCTGGCCTCAGTGAAGGTAGTGTGAGTATATCTGTTCTGTGCATTGTGTTGGAGCAATCCAGATAAGTTCTTACTTGTAGTTTATTCAGGGCTACATGTGTGTACATGAGGGTCTTCAGTAGTTAGGCTCGGTGTCTCTTCACAGCTTGCACGAAGAAGTTCTCTGTCCTGTTCCCAGAGTAGCTGCATGAGGATTGCTGTTATTTCTTGTGATATGCTTATCCAGGCATAAAATACATCAGTAGCATGTCTCAATATCATTGATTTTGCAAGGTGGGGTGGGGAGAAAGGGTGGGGGAGGTTTTCCCTTGTACATTTTTTCCAGATTATCTTCATTTAAGATCTTAAAAAGAATTTAACACTCATGATTGAATGAGAAAGGTGACGAAAAAGGTCTATGTAATTCTGTTTCTCATTTAAAAAAAAAAATCCTAAGATAGTAAATGAGATGTGAGAGAGCAGGAAATACTATGACCCACCTTTTCCCACTTCAGTTATTAGAAAGGTAATTAGGAAGTGGTCTATCTAACATAAGTATCTTCTATTTACAGAGCCAATGGAACAAAGCTGCAAATGACTGCGTATGGCATTTTTTTCCATTTGAATGCTCTAATAGAAAAAAAAAAAAAAAGCAACACTAATTAATTCAAAGGAAATTGATATTGTCCTCTTATTTACTAATACCTCATAATAATCTTTATTAGCATGCATCTGTAAACTTTAAATCAGTTTGTAATACCTTATATCGACTACTTCACTTATGTCTAATAAACACATTAATAATCTAATATACCTAATAATATCTATTTAAAGATTATTATATAATTAGTGTAATTTTTTTCGCATACCATGCATTTTTCACTGCCCTGTGTGATTTATTTATTGCTTTTTACAGAATAAGGACTCTCTCTCTCTATATATATATAAAAGAATGGAAATTATTTAAAATAAGTTGCTTTTTTTTGTGCACTTGAATCAGCATCAGACTATCACAGTTATAAAGGCTGGTTTTATACTAATGTTTGGTTTATGCTTACTTATCAATTTTCTTATAGGGAACAAATGGCCACAGAAATGTCAGAAATACTGTCTAGGTAGGTGAGAAGACAACACCAAATGAACCAATCATTTTATAAAAAGAAATCGCACATGAAATGGATTGGATTATTATAGAATGAAAAATAATGGAATCTGGGGGCTTTTTTTAAGTGCTAATTGATTAAGTAAATTTTGTTTCAGGTAAATTTCTTTTATTAACAACTTTTTTTCCAGTGATTATTTTTTTCTGCTATTTTAATTGATTATATAAAAAAAGAATAAGAATAGTTCACATACCCTGGTATTTCGTGTAATTTTGATAATGTTCCTCCAGCTTTCTTCTCTTTTCACCTTTCTTATAATGATAATAGAAAATTAGGCTCCACGTCTTTCGAAGGAGGATTTCTACAGATTCAACACATAGTTAATGAAGTTATTTTATGTTAATGTAACAGCTAGTGCTTTTAATAAGAAAATATTCTAGTTATAATTCCATTCAAATAAAAGCAGTTTTGAAAATTACCATGTTAAAGGTGTATTAAAAACGCCTCATAAGACATCTAAACAAAATCCCCTTCTGAGATTTCTTGAATGCTAATGCAAGATTTTATGCACAATGCAGGAGGAAAGGAGAATGCAGGTTTAGATCTGCATACAATTCTGCTGCAACAGCCTCATATTACTTTGTGTTAGAATACTAATTCTCTCTTGAAAGAAATTGTTATAATTTTGTCCGTGTCAGTAAGCAATTAGAAAGTGTTTTGTGCAACTTGAGGACAAAAATAACACTTTGACATTCATTTTCTGCAGCTTACATAAGAAGCAAAATTGTTTAGAGTGTTTAAAAATCAATCTGTTGTTAAACAAGCCACTATATTGTGTATATATAGTCTGAAGATGATCGGTCTCGCATGATTGATGGATTTTCTAGTTGTAGCATTGAGAGTTGGGAACACAGCTGTTAACTAAATTTCTTACAGTGGCATTTTAAGAATAGGAATAAATAATGTTGAGTGTAATTAAGCTAGCATGTGAATTTAGGTGGCTAGATTGTATTGCATATATTGACAGGTCAAGGGAGATTATCCTCCCCCTCTACTCTGCCCTAGTGAGTCTGCACCTGGAGTACTGTGTCCAGTTCTGGGCTCACCAGTTCAAGAAAGATGAGGAACTCCTAGAGAGAGTCCAGAGGAGGACAACAAAGACGATTAGGAGACTGGAGCATCTTCCCTGTGAGGAAAGGCTGAGAGAGCTGGGCTTGTTTAGTCTGAAGAAGAGAAGGCTGAGAGGGGATCTCATAAATACTTAGAAATATCTTAAGGGTGGATGTCACGAGGATGGAGACAGATTCTTCTCAGTGGTGCCCAGCGACAGGACAAGGGGCAATGGGCGCTGAAGTGTAAGAAGTTTCAGTGGAATACGAGGAAGAACAACTTTACCTTGAGGGTGACAGAGCACTGGAACAGGCTGCCCAGGGGGGTTGTGGAGTCTCCTTCTCTGGAGATATTCAAAGTCTGCCTGGATGATGTCCTGTGCAACCTGCTCTAGGTCAACTGCTTTAGCGGGGGGGCAGGGGTTGGACTAGATGATCTCCCAAGGTCTCTTCCAACCCTTGGCATTCTGTGTGATTCTGTGACATAGTTCCAATGACAACGGCCAATTCTTAAAGTGCAAAAAAATTTGCAAAACTTTGGGGCAAAATCAGAGGCTCTGTGTTTTAGTTGCATTCAAAATCCAGTACTTCTTACTGCATGCTTGTTTAACTAATTTTTTTTTTTTTCACTTTTCATACACTGGAAACTTGACTTGAGACTGATTTTTCAAGTTTGAAAACACTGTTTATGATACTTAACTTTGTCAGATTGAGCGGTGAAGACTGATTGTCAAATGTGATGCTGCTCTTACTGTGAGACTGTTATGCTTAAAGTCATGTAGAAAACAAAAGTGTGATCTGCAGAGTGCAGAGTAGTACTGTAATGGAAAGGCTAAGCCATTCAATTGGATTAGCATTCTTAAAGATTACTGGTTTAACCAGAGACCTTACAGCCTAGTTCTGCTGCTCTAAATTATGTAGCAAACTCCTAGAGTGGTGTGTAGTATTGCTAATTAAGGAAAATCCTTCGGATTTGTCAAATTAGATTCAAGAAGGTTAGATACCAGGCATCGGAAATTACATTTAACAGCAATCCTTTAATGTCCTACGAGTATGACAATGATAACAAAATACTAAAATATATATTTGGAAGGAGACTGTGTGTCTAATGATTTGTTTTACGTTTATGAGTTGTGCTAAGGGCGTGGAAAAGTTCCTGTCCCTCAGCTATGTACTGATTAAAAGTCAGAGGTAATTTTTCATGTCTGACTTCTCACATACCATAACCGGAAGCTGTGTGTTGACTAAGATTAGTAGTATGAGTAGGCATAATTAAGCCAATGCTGCAATAAACAGTAAGGTTCTGTAGTTTTAATTACATTTGAAGAGATGGTTCTGTTGCTGTTAAGAACAACATTTGGTTAAACAGATTGTTTTACTCTATGAAACTTAAAAATAAATTGCATTTATCTCTGCTTTCAGAAGTGCTATATCGACACAGAAATTTTTCACAGAAAATGTATTTATAACCTATTAAGTAAAAAGGGAAAATAAACAACATAAAACCTTGTAGTCCCACATGAGACCTTTACGGAAAAATAAACTTTAAAATAATATTCTCTGGATTATAAATACTGTGATAATGTAACAGTCCCACAAAGATATTGCTGCACAGACTTTAACTGAAAAGGCACCGTTTCTTCTGTTTTCCTCCTGTGAATTTTTTAAGTGACGTATTTCATCAAGTATTTTGCTACCCTGTTAAAGATCTAGTTTCTTCTGAACAAATCCTCTTGGATCCTGAAAGATAATTCAGTTTGCCTCATGTTCTTAGTCATGGGCATTAGCAGAGGTTGGCAAAATCATGTGTCTGTTCCTGAACTCCTTAGCGTTTAAAAAGTATTCTCATCATCACTGAATGTTTGAATGTCTCAAACTTAGTTTATATCCAAATAATCCATGGGAAGTTTGCCATTCCTAATGGAGAGTTCTTCCACTTCTTATCCCTACCATTTTTAAAGGGAAAAAAATTTCAGGTTTATTTTTATATATTTGTTTGTTACATGGATAACCTTATATATACTGTTAAAGATGATGGAGATTTTATTAACAATTTCTCATTGCATTTGCTACTGACTTTATTGCATAGTACCTACATGACCAATACCTTTTGCCTTTGAAAAACGCTGTTTCTAGATGAGTCTTTCTGAACTGGTCAGCCTTTCTTCTGAGAATGGTCTTTTTTTCCTTGGTATTTTAATAATTCCTCCTCCCCACCCCCCCCTCCCCCGGAATAAATATTGTTGTCCTCAGACAGCTACTAAACAATTAATACAGAATTAATTTGATTTCTTCTCTCAGATTAGACTTTTGTCAAAAACATGAAATATTTTCTCTAGAATTGGAACAAGGGTTTTGTCCCTAATCCAGTTTTAAACAGCAGAGGAAACGCCTTTTCTCCCTTCTCCTTCTCTACTTCAGAAATATTTTTCGAATGAAACTAAAAATATATATGGCCACTCTTTCTTGTCTGTATTCTGCATCTTGACTAGTACCAAGAAAAATGTACATCATTGTGGGGTGAGGTACATATGAATAGAATATACAACCTTGCACGCATAAGCGCTAACTATTAATGTTGATTCCTTTTAATCTCTGGCAACCAATCAGATTATTATATTATTTTGGACATAAAAGATGCTTTCACTTTTTCTTAATCATTGGAACATCCTGAAAATGATATCATACTTTGCCTTTGAATTCGGTCCCTCTGCTGCTGATTTTCATTGTAATAAAGAGTGCTGCAGTGTTGATCGTGGGATCTGTTCCTCCTGTTGTAACAATTCCTGTTTCATACTTGAAAAAATACATATATAATTTTTTAATAATTGCAGGGGTCCTTCAGTTCAAGCCACGAAAGCTGCTGCTGGTACTAAGAAGCATGATCTCAGTAAGTGGAAATATGCAGAGCTTCGCGATACAATCAATACATCCTGTGGTAAGTTGGTTTGAGAAAGAAGTCAAGTTGTAGTTGTGTGAAGGGTGTTATTTTCTTTCTATGACAAAGATAAAACCTTGCTTATGAATTTATTCAGATTTGAATGAATGTCAGATTAATTTTGAAAAATTTCTATTACGCTAAAGAGAACAGTGAACTAAACTATTTCCATATTGAGGAAACAGAATTTCCTTTGTTACCTCCTTTACTGATTATATATTTAAAATGTTAAACTGCTTGGGCCATCAAATACATGTTATAATTGCTAATTAAAGTCTCAGTTTTATATAGTTCCACAAAGGGAATAATAGTTATTATGCTTTACCCAGAATTCACGTTTTCTAAGAAATTTTTTGATGTAAAGCACAGTGTAAAATATCTTCTACCTCAGATGTTCAGATTATTCTTTTAATTTTCAAAATGTGTAACTCATTTGGGAAGCTCACAATTGGACATTAATTACTTTTCCCCCGATGTTATGAAGACACAAACAGATAAGAATTATTCCTTTATTAAATAATACTTTCTCTTCCTCCTTCTGGTTGAAGGCAGTTGGTTAATTTCTGACTTAAGATAACTTGGAGTTTCTCCCTGGATGTGGAAATTGGAAACAAGCCCATTCTCTCTATTTGTATCTAAAACCCCAAGTTAGCCCCAAATAATTTGTCTCTATTTTTGCATATGCAAGACTGGAGCAATGTTTTCAGCTGAATAGGTGATGCAGTAATACATGGTGCTAATGGGTGTTTATCCCTGGTGCAGCCAGTTTGGATACTCATAGACAACCAATGAAGAAGTCTTGCAATTGTTCAGTCTCTTAGCATGTGAAATACAGAAAAATTAAAGTAAATTTAATAATGTGAAAGAAGAGCCTGGGTCCAAACAGTCAAATTGCTGATTTTCTTTTTTTCAGTTGCAGAAATAAAGTTCAGTGGTGAAATTTTATCTGTTTCTGCACTGCTTGGCTTGTGATAATGTCAACAGACAAATTTAGCAAAGTGAAAATTTTATTTGTAGCATTTCCCTGCTCCAAATCTCACAGTAGAAGAGCTACTTTGGGGACTGCCGTTCCTCTAAAGGAGAAAAGGGTATATAGCACTACAAGGATTTTTCTGACCATAAAATACAGGCCCTGTTGCTGCATAGAATAAGGGTTTATTATAATATATGTACCTATCAATACAGAAAAGCATTTCATAAATATTTTTTCCTGATTTTTCTGACTTCTCCCTTCCTTCCTTATTTTTGAGACAGATATTGAACTGTTGGCAGCTTGCAGAGAAGAGTTTCACAGAAGGCTAAAGGTCTATCATGCTTGGAAATCCAAGAATAAGAAACGCAATGCAGAAGCAGAACAGCGTGCTCCCAAATCAGTCACAGACTATGGTGAGGAGAGAAAATTTTGTGTTTATAATAATTTTGGTGACAATATTCTAAAGAAAACATTTCCAGAATGATTTTTGGTTTTGCTAGGTTGAAGGAAATTCTTGGGGGTTTTAGAGTATTTTTATATTGATTTATGATAAAAGATTGGAACTGGCAAACACTTTGCAGAAAGTAGAATACTTTCAGGAGACCCAGATACATGTACTGAATAGCCCTCCCTAAAACCTTTTCTCATACCAACTCACATCTGTTAAAAATAATTCTTGATTTGGTGATGCAGTTGCTGGCGTTTTTGCTACATGTTCATTGCTGTGCTACTTAAGACTAAGGAAGATAATTTTCCATTTATGAAACTGGTTTGTATCTTGAGATGTTTGAAACTTTGTTTTTAAGGTTGTTCGTACTAGTTCTGACCTCTGTAAGTACAAATGTTGCTTTCTGAGAGTAGTTAGTGGTAGTTCAGAACAGAGCATTATACCTAAGGATAGAATAGAGATTCTAAAAATAGTTCTCAAATAGTCTATCAGAGAACTGAATGTGATTTTTTTTTTTTTTTTTTTTTTTTTGGTGCTATAAAAATAAGATTGGAAGGACTCATGCTCTGTTACATAATTCACTATTACATTTTGGGTCCAGACAAAACAAAAAGTATTGGTGACAAGGTTTTCTTTTTTCTCATGCTTTTATTCTTTTGTCAGATACAGATATAGCATAGCATCTTTTAGAAGTATCTACACCTAATAATTTCCTCATTTACATTGCTGTAAGCCTTATATATTTCAGGTTAAGTTCTCTTTTTAAAAATTCTGAGTGTTGGTATTGCAACTTCTGATTGATGACAAATTTTGCATAGTCCCTGGTTTCTTATTAGACTGTCAGTCTGCTGATTTCACAGATGGATGTTTATTGTCAAAGCAATGCGCTCATGAGAATAAGTGACTGCTTTCTGAATTCAACAAGAAGGTGTAGGAGTTACCATGTTTAACACTGCCAGACCTGAAAATTAGGTTGCCGGTTTCTGGGGTGAGATTTGCAGAGCAGGGTGTTATTCTTTCCCCACGCCCCCACCCCCCAAATCCAATGATCATCCATTATAAAAGGAATCTAAGAAATGAATAGCATCACAGCAAATAGATATCATAATTTGGCCAGATATTTCCTGCTGTCTTCTGGTTCCATGATTCATGTGTTCCAGCCACACAGTTAATGGGAGAGGCAGAGGAAAGGGAAGATGGGGAGAAGATGCTCTCCCCAGAGTCCTGTTAGCCTGGGATTAGAGCACTGTCCTGGGACACGGGGGATACAGATCCCAGGGGATAAAGGTGCCCTACTTACTCCCAGCGTTAGTCCTTATACAAAGGTGCCTCCTTCCCCTTGATTCATTTATGGAGTTACGCATTGCTTGAGCATTACCTGCGAATTTGAGCTTTTCGGGGACCTTTGGTACAAATACATGGCAGGTGAAATCTGGACCCCTGGAAAAGATGTTAACAAAGAATGGTTCCTTGTGGCTGTGCCTAGTAATGTGGTTTCAAGTGCTTTAGAAAGTTTATGACTGAAACAGCAGGAAAAGGCATTTGAAGCCCTTTTCAGAGTGGTAAGTTGCTTTGAATTTGAGCTCGCAAATTCTGTCTGGAGCTAAATGGGTAAAATAAATATTCATGCACAGTATTGCTGATGGGAAATAGCAAAGAGCAGAAAATCTTTGGATTTGTGGAAATGAAGCTTGGAATATTCATGATCTCATCACATTTAGTTAGACATTTACAGCATTCTTGTCAATGTTTTTCATTGCGTTTTTTTACTTTTCTTGAAATATGGCTTTATGTTTCTGAAGAAAAGTTAGAACGTTGCGATTCAGAAGAAAGTCACTGATAGTGACCTTTAGAGAGACTCGTTAATGTCAGAAATAATTCTTCCTATTGCAAATAATTAAACTACATGGGCATTTCACATCTATGTATGGTAATAATCTGAGGAGGTAGTAAGAAGGAACTCTGATTTCTTACAAGTTTAAGCTAAAAGTCTTTCGAGTGTCAGTGGATGTGTGCTTCAAATGATGCCATTTCTTCTTTCTGTCTTTTCACTGATGTCATACAATTTTACACGTATCCTTTAATTAAATTTATGCATTCAGTATAGAAGCTAAACACTTGTTTGTGTATTAGCATTGGGTTGGCAGATTTGGTATTAATAGAGGTCTGGAAATTTTTTCCTAGCAGAAGTGTCAAAAGTTAAAGTACTACGTTAATTAATTAGCAGATTTGTTACAGCGATCTGTGTTTCGCATGTATACAATTGAGGTTTTGTAACAGGCATCGCAAATCATTGAAGTAATCAATTTCTAAATTAATTCCTCATGAAAATAACAGCTGTTGGAAATCTATGAAACTGGAGGAAAGGAGACATTGTACATAGGTCTGAGCAGAAAATGAATAGAAATACTTAGCTCAAAATCTGTGTTTATTTTGTAACTAGAATTTCCATTTGTCTATCATCAGCGTTCGTGAAAAACGTTGAGGGAATGAAACTATAACTTGTAAAGGATCGGCACTTTTATGTTTTGTTCAACATGTAATATTTGTTCACAGATTTTGCACCATTTATGAGCAACTCACGTAAGTGGGGAGATGGTTATATAACTAACTCTGAAGAATAGGAACACTCAAGAGCTCTCTACTAACAATCCAGTGTTTTGCTACACATGTACATAGAATTTAATTGTTCCAAAAAAAATCTATTTTACAATTTGGCAAAGTTATTCAACTGATGGTAATTATATGTTACTCTAATTTTACAACTTTACTGCTTCTCTTCGTATTCAACTGATGGTAATTATATGTTACTCTAATAATTTACAAATGAACTTTACTGCTTCTCTTCATCAACCCCTTTGAGCAGTCAAGGGAATGGAGAATGAAATAACCTTTTTATGTAGGTTATTTGAAGGTATCATCTCCTAGTTTTTTCTTCTATACCACCCCACCCCCCAAACACCATGCTTGTTCTAACATTTTTTCCTGTCTGCACATGGCTTTTTATTGTAGCAAAACTCTGGAATCAACTCAATGTAACAGCTATTTTCCTAGCACACTAACATTCAGGTGATGGTTTCTTTTGAATAAAGAGTCTACAATTCCATAGCACTGAAAAGTAGAGGCTATATTGGCTGCTTAGCATTCCTGTCCTCTAGATTTCCTCTTGGATTTAGGTAGCATAGGGGTAGAAATAAGCCTTAGCAATTATGGTTGCAATGCAAAAAGTGTTTGAGAATACTAAAGCCCTGTTCTGCTGTGATAGACATTCAGACAATTTGCAGAAAATAGAATTAATGTCCTGTAAACTGCAGACTTTGTCTCCCTGTAAAATACATGCTTTATCAGAGTTAATGTACAAAAGTAGCATTCACCTATTAAAATCTGTTTTGTGTTTCTTCTTTTTGTTTATGTAGACATGGAAAAAAAAATTGGGGGGTATGATTTGTATAGTAAACTTTTTTTAAAGATTCTGCTCTTTACATTTAGAAAAACTTTTTGCTTGAGTCTAAGTGGAAGAAATTTCAAGGTGCAGTTGCTAGTCTATTAGTCTGTAAAAATACATTATTAGAGGTTGTTGTCATTTTTCATTTATTATTAGCTCAAAAATGAGCTTTGCTGCTTAACAGACAATGGCCAAAAAGGAGTTCACTTTTAATTATTCCCTTTATGCTCAAACATGGAACTGTTAATACTGAATTTCTTTTGTAGAGATGGCTTAGACTCACATTCAGAATTTCTTAAACAGAGTGTTTGTAACAGTGGTATCGTAAACCACTAAAGCAAGATCAGTAATAAACTTTTGCAGGAGGCAGATATTAAAGGAAAGGATCTTGCTTGTAAGAGCATTTACTATTTAGACCTGGAGCATTTACTATTTAAAACTGATTATGATAGCGTATACATAACATTAAGAAGGTTGATCAGTTGATGAGTTAACATAGAGAGCATTTGCTTTTATTTAAAAGAAAGTTTTTCTCCGAAGTCTGAAATGGGTGGGAGTCTGAGGGAGCCCGAAAATGCACATGGGAAATGTTTACCAAAAATGTATATGAAGCTTTAAAAGATTTCATATAACTCTTGTCTCCTCTAGAAATTTGGTCTGTTGATCTTAATGGTCTGAAATAATTTCTTTAAAAAAGAAAGCAGCCAGAGAACAGTTCTAATGCTGGAGTTTAGTATACACAAATCCAGGCAGAAAGTTAGGTTTGGTGGCAGCTTTGCAATAAGCAGTATTTGTTGCCAATGTTTCTATTAACAGTTTTGTCATTTCTAACAGTATTACACACCCTTCTGTGCTGACTGTCAAAAATCTTCCAAGTGGTGCTTTGTATTTTTGTAACTGAAAATGTTTCTTTACACTGTGACCTTGTTTTACAAAGAAATGGAGTGAACTAACGCAGTTACTGATTAATGTTTCTGGCTGTAAGAAATTTTATATGGGAAGTTTTACCTTAAATATTGATTTACAGCAGAATGTGTTATTTTACTCACTTTGTTTGGTCTAAATGTACCTGATGTTGTTGAGCAACCTAGCATTACATATAGATACAACAGTTAACAGCAGCCATTCCTTACCAGTGTTGTAGCTGTAGTGATTAAAGGAATGGATGTTATGTGAGATGGGAATACTTTTTAGGTTGGATGAGACTTCAGATGACCTTGTACTCAGAGAGAATCTCCCAGGTTTTGGGGGGTTTGGTTTGGTTTTTGTGGTTTTTGTTGGTTTGGGTTTTCTTTTTTACTTTGCCAATTAATCAAGCAAGTCATAATATGGTTTTCTTGTTTTCTATTTTTTTTTTTTTTTTGTTTTGTTTTCTGGGGTTTTGGTGTTTTTGTTTTTTTTTTCTGTGATAGCTCAACAGAACCCGACAACCCAGCTACCAGCCAGACAACAACATTTTACTCACTTTGTTTGGTCTAAATGTACCTGATGTTGTTGAGCAACCTAGCATTACATATAGATACAACAGTTAACAGCAGCCATTCCTTACCAGTGTTGTAGCTGTAGTGATTAAAGGAATGGATGTTATGTGAGATGGGAATACTTTGTAGGTTGGATGAGACTTCAGATGACCTTGTACTCAGAGAGAATCTCCCAGGTTTTGGGGGGTTTGGTTTGGTTTTTGTGGTTTTTGTTGGTTTGGGTTTTCTTTTTTACTTTGCCAATTAATCAAGCAAGTCATAATATGGTTTTCTTGTTTTCTATTTTTTTTTTTGTTTTGTTTTCTGGGGTTTTGGTGTTTTTGTTTTTTTTTTCTGTGATAGCTCAACAGAACCCGACAACCCAGCTACCAGCCAGACAACAACAGATTGAAATAAACAGGCAACAGCGTTACTTCCGCATTCCCTTCATCCGTCCCGCGGACCAATACAAAGATCCCCAGAACAAGAAGAAGGGGTGGTGGTACGCGCATTTTGATGGGCCATGGATCGCTCGACAAATGGAACTTCATCCTGACAAGGCACCCATTCTCCTTGTAGCAGGTTGGTATTGAAAGCAAAATTCAAATGATGAAAAGGTTCAGGGTTGATAACTTACTCTAGAAAAAGAGGCTGATGATACAGGTTTCCCAAGTTCTATCCTCTTTTTTTTCATCAGCAGTTCTTGTCTGGGCAGAATTTGAAGATTTGGGACTGCTGTTGATGGTGGCCAAATGCTACAGAACATCATTTGGAGATGTGACTTGTCACGTGTTTTACTTGTACACGTACTTTGATCTGGGGCATCACAGACAGAGTGGGAATCCAAATGTAAATGGTTTTGTTATTAAGTGTCCTCAGATTATTCACTGAACTGGAGACAGCGTGAAGATAAAGCATCACAGTTTATCTGGGAAAGTTCTGCTCATTGGTCTTCAGTTAGCTTTGAAATATGGCAGCAGTTGTATCAAAACAATTTGCGCCTATGATATAATCATCTTTCCCCAGTATGGTGCTGATAGCAAACTGATGCTTTTACCGTATTTATGGTGCCTAGTATGGGAGAATAGCTTTTTAATCTTAAATGTAAAATAAAAACCAAAATGTGGCAACGAATAGGTAGAGATTTATCTGGTAATGAAATGTATCCTCCTTTTCTGGAGGATGACAAAATGGGGAGAAAACACTGGAGCTGTTTACAGTTCTGTGGTTTAAGTTTTTGTTTTTAACCTGGGGACTGAGGAAAAGGCCGTAACCAGTTTGTTTAGCTTAAGAGTGATGCTTAACTAGCAACAAAAGTTCCCCTGTTTTCTGCTATTTATTTTTAATAGAATTCCTTCTACCAACTGTTGCCTGTTCAGTGTCAAAGCCCAGAGCTAAAAGTGGCATAGCTGTCATGAATACCACATTCAGTGGATCAACTATTAAAAATAAGATTAAAATACAGGAAGTGAGCTACACTCATCATTTCATTGGATTCCCTGCGCCAGTCCCATTTGGTAAACACTCTTTGCTTAGCGTGGGAGGCCGACAGATGAAGAATACTGGCTACTTGAGCAAAAGTCTCGAGTTCTTAGAAGCTTTGCTACATTTAAACAAATCAAATCATAACAGCAGTTCACCGTAAAACTGAAAGGGTGTAAAACAAAGGCGGCTGCCATCCTGTAGTGTGTTTCAGGAGAATACATCAAGATGCTGATCTTTTCGGCTTCTTTCCCTTGTTTCTTTTTGCTCGCTTTTTAAGCACAATTTTGTCAGTTGCAGCATCCGATATAGTTTATTCTGATACAGCTTTCCTGCTCTGTGTGTGTTAAACAAAAAAAAACCCCAAAAACCTAATCTTTTTTAATGGCACCTTTGAATGATTGATGTAAAAGCTTTATAAAGATTTTTCTTTTTCCCTTTACCATTTCAGGTAAGGACGATATGGATATGTGCGAGCTTAATCTCGAAGAGACTGGCTTAACTCGGAAGCGAGGTGCTGAAATTTTGCCGAGACAGTTTGAAGAAATTTGGGAGCGCTGTGGAGGTATCCAGTATCTTCAAAATGCAATCGAAAGCAGACAAGCTCGTCCTACGTATGCTACAGCTATGCTGCAGAACCTGTTGAAATAAACGGTCCTTTTGCACAGCAGCGTTCGAGACGAGAACCCTTGCCCGTGATACAAAGGGAAAAGAGTTCCTCTGTGCAACAGAGGACGTAAACATTCTATAATCATAGTAGAGATATTTAATATAAAGTGAACAGATTTTATTAATCATGTGGTTTGTTAATTTGTACTTTATGATGTTTAATTTGTGTAGTGACCTTTACTAGGTATGAGGACATTGAAGAAATTTCAGTCAGTGTAGTTTGTTGCATTCTGTTTATATGTTGCATTTTCTTTAACAGTTTCTGTTATAACTCTTAAAACTTTTAAGCAACCTGTCTATACTTGGGTACATATTACAAAGAACTGCATTGCAACCACCTTTTTGTAAAATCCCCTCTTTAAAACAGAGTAGTTGGCTTCAAGTGGCGGCCTAGTAAAGCGTATATGCTGCTTCTAATAACTGGAATTATGAGGCCTTAGCTTTGACTTCTGTTCCAGAGAAGTTGGAGTGTACTTTTATATAATCTGAGACATTTTATGTCCTGATTTGAAAACTGGTTAGTGTCTGTATTTACTGATTTTTTCACAAAACCGATGGGAAATCCTCCTAAACTTGAGACCCGTGAATTCCTATTTAATGCATTCTCTGTCTTGGTTTTAGAGAAGTGGTTTTCTGTACGTTCTGAGAAGAGCATTCGTATATGTCAGTAGTGTGTAATACTGGAGGTACTCAAGGAATGTACTGCTTGTTAGGGCTCACACCACTTCTCTCTTAGTTTATTTTTCTTTTTTTCTCTTTAAGTACAAATTTCCTTTAGAATTCTGTTTCCATTAGGAATTCTTGGATAGTTTGTTTATCCAGATAGTGTAATTTCAATATATTACGCGAAAGTGTCCAAGACTCATATCTGGAGGCATATAAGATTAAGGATAGCATAAGGGAAATACATTCAGCTTTTTGGTGGCAGTATAGCTTAACTGCATACTGAGGCCTGAGCCTCAGACGTCCTCTTTATTTTAATGGTATCGAGATGCACAAGGTCTGTACCTTTTGTTAGATTGTATCAAATATCTGGTCAAATAACATAATGCATCACCTTAATGCTATGTGCTGATGACATAGCTACAGTTTCAGCATACTGGAACATCATAGTGATTCAGGCACTGAGCTTTATCTGAATCTCCTCTGTCAAGTTTCGGAGCTTCTAACAGTTCCCTTCTTAAGCAGTTTGTTTAGGGAGTTTTTATGGGTGGGAATTATTAATTTCATACAGTTTTAAGATGCGTCTTGTTCACTTACATGAACACTGTTTCACCATGCTGGCCATTATTTCAATAAATTAAACTTGATTATTTATTATCTCTCCAATAGGAGTTTGAAATAGAAGTAGCTTGATATCCAGTTACTTACTGAAACTGATTTAAAAATGAAGCCTTGCTCTTTGAATTGGCAAAGTTTGCTTACACTAGAAAATAATTTCCTCACTGTTTACTCAGTTTGAAACCTCTTGGAAACTTTAGTTTTCAAATGCGTAAATATACCTAATAGCTTTCAAGAGGTGCAGTTCCATAGCGCCGAGGAGGCTCACGAAGCACAGTCCTTGCTGACCCTGGGTTGTGCTTGCATGCCACAGTCTGCTGCTTCTTGTAAGCGCCCTCCTTCCTGTAATGCGTCTGGAGGCGTTGGAGCGATACCTTAACGCCGTATCAATCCGCCGCGTCAGGGAATCTCGGCGTCCACGGCGTACCCGCTCTACTTTTTGGCCATGTGATTGCAAATGAGAAAACGTTTCCATTTTACCCAAACAAATTCTTCACTGAAGCCATGATTTTTGGCTGGAAGACGAAAGGAGGAGTGCGTCAGACTGCTGGCTAGCGACTTGTGTCCAAAGGTGTACAGCGTCGCGTGAGTCTAAAGGTGCTGCTTATGAAATTGAGGTTAGTGGTTGAGTGCGTTACTGAATTGGAACCAAAGTTTCAGAACTTCCAGTCTCCAGAAACTTAGCACTGCAAGAAGCTATGACCGTTGATGTGATAGAAGGAAGAGAAACCACTGCACCCACAGGGCTGAGGTGCCCTACCCTGAGTTTGTTACTGTCTCGATTGAACTTCCCGACTTCACACGTTCAGTCTCAGTTCGTAGATACAGGGAGAGAGATATAAAACAGATCTCGTGAGACTGAACATGGTAAGCAAAGAACCTCCGTACTTAAGTGCGTGTGTGTATGTATATACACATATATATGCTTAAATATTTTAGTACATATGTGTGTAAACATACTTCTGAGGAACTTAAAACGAATAAAATTGTTAACTGAATTTTTCCAGTCTGTTCCTTTGATTATGCCAGATTTTCCTTGACTGGCATCAGAATGAAAATTTGTTTTTCAGAATGGGGTGTATGGGAATGCTTGTTAACTAAAGGACTAACAAATCTGAGTGATCAGGAAAATAACATTGACACGGTGGAAGAGGAACCGGTGGCTGGATGTTCTCAAATGAGACATTCCCACCTCCCTGCCTCTCTCCAGCAGCGTGCCTGCGGCAGAGGATTCATTCCAAAAATCAGGGTATTCCAGTTCACACCGTAGCATGCTTCTGGGTTTTTTCCCTTCCCCCCACACACCAGCAGCATCTGCTTTGAGTTTTACTGATCTTTTTGTGCAACAAAATGAGTTATCAATTCATTTCAGATTTTTCCTTTTTATGTCAGGCAATGTTCAGCTGCTTACTGCTTGTTTCCGTTGTCGCGCTTCCTTGTGTCAGACAATTACCCTGCGGGTTGATTTGGGGAGGAAATAAAAAAAAAAAAGGGGGGGGAGAGGGGGTTGATCTGTAGGCTTGTAGTGTTTTACCTAATGCCCTTCTCACCTACGGTGATAGGGGAAAAATGTAATTTGGTTTTTAAAGCAAACTCATGAAGTAAACACGGTTCTGTGTGTTTAATTAAAAAAAAAAAAACAACTTCCTGCCTCCCAGTGAAGTTGTCCGCTATAGTGGAGATCTCCCGCGTGAAACACTCCAGAAAAGAAAGGAGAGGAAGAGAATCCCCGTGCCCGGCGGCTTTCCTGACTAAGCTGACCCAGGAGTATGAATTGTCCAGAGAATGCTGCTTCGAGGATCGCAGAGTCGTTACGGACTCGTCTTTCAGCCACTGCTTGTGTTTCTTCACTTAGTTGAATCCTTTGGGTTTTTCTCCAAAATCTTTATTTAAAAGTTTTTAAATGACCTCTTAATACTGTACTGAACAATAAAACCCCAAATAAATACATTCCGTATTGAAATCTCTCTTACCATTTTGTCTTTAAAGTGTGACGAGCAGGGGTAGATTATGAGAAGGCTGAAAGGATTCCTGTGCCGGAACTGCCCAGGGCTTTTCTGCCCGATGTTTGTGGTGCTCGAAGCTACTCCAGTAAAGATTTTGTCTTCACTTTCTAAGGCAAGCGTTCCTCGAAAACAACATTCTGTTATTAAGAAATTCTGTTGTCTTTCAGTCTCATGCCTCGCTTCTCAGTATTTGTTGAAGCAAGGATCTTTTTACTTTCGTTCCTGCTCTTTTAACCTTTATTGCTGTCGCTTCCAACGCATTTACCACTCTCTGTGCCGTGTGCTCTTTGCATCCTTTCCATTGGTGACTGGTGAAACCACTTATGATACTTCCAGTTCGTGTGTCGCAGGAAAAGTATCATGTTTGGGCTGGGGGTTGGGGGGTGCTTTTGGGTTTAAAAAAAAAAAACAAAACAAAACAAAAAACAAACCAAAAAAACCCCCAAAAACCCAAACAAACACAAATGTTACCAAACTTCCCTGTCCTAAGGGCCAAACCAGAGTGGTATTTTTTTAATTTAAGGAGATGGAAGTAATTCCGACTTCAATACCTAGGAGATATAATTTTGTTTCACTTTCTGTATGGCTTTCATTTCCAACTGTGGCTTTACATCAGCTTTAAAATAATGTGTTGTGCCTTAGTGTGAGATTAAATACCGCTTCAATTCCCTGTGAAATTTTCAAGTAAATAGTTTTATTATATTTTATTGAAATACAAAAGGCTTACATCCAGCAAATATATTTGGTAAATAATAGTTGAGAGTGATAAATACAGTCATGAATAATAGTTATTAAAGTACACATTTTAAAATTACTTATTTTTTTAAACTGACTAGTGCTCACTAGTATGAATTGGAATACGCTAAACACATACAAAAATACCTTTGCAATGGAAAAAAACAAAGGGAATGCTTTCAGCATTCTTAATGCATTCTTAACTTAGATGAGCAGTAGTGAAAAGCTGACGTTTGCTGGCAGGGACGGCTTCCGGTGCCCTGCAAGAAGCATTTTTTTAATTAGAGTTAATTCTGAAGTGTTACTGTGTAAAACCACATCTTGGGTATTTTTTTTTTTAAAGTGAGTAAAAATACTATTTCAGCTGTAGAAACTCAACCTTGTATTCTCGGTGCATGGCCTTTGTTTGTACACGGTCACCAGTTTTGGTGGCTTTGCAGGCAAATCTGTTTGTGCAGTTAATTGTTTGGAATTTGTAAACAGTTGCTGTGAGCGTACGTAATAAGGTAAGCTGAAGTTCGGTCTCTGCCGTGGTAACCGTGGTGCGAAGTAGCAAGAGTCGTCACTGAAGTCAGCCGCTGTCCCGAGCGCGCGGCAGTTGCGCGTCTGGATGAGGAGCTGTCAGCCAGCACAGTCACGGACTCTGGAGGAGCTCGGTTTGAGCTGCAAGTACAACTTCTGGTACGCACCAAGCAGCAAACAGTGCCTGAATATTATACCACACTGGTGCAGCGTATAGATACATGGATATACCCAAGGAAAAGACGTTCAAGGTAAAGTAACGCTCGTACATGAGTCGGGATTGTGGATCCAGAGAGCATAAATTACTACGGCTATCAAATACTTCATGGCCACCCGTGGTCTGCTCGTATGTCTTCTACAACAACGAGTAGTAGCCTCTCAATATTTGCGTGTACACTGAGTTCAAAGCGCACGCGCTTACGTGTGCCTCTGTAATCT